AAAAAAAAAAAAAAAAAAAAAAAAAAAAAAAAAAAAAGAAATAAAGTCTAATGTAGTATCAGCAACTCTACAATTTTTCCTAAGCTTATTTCAGTACTGCGTGTCAGAAAAACCTTATAAGATGCGACTGTTTTCTATTAGTGATAATTTATATTCCTATATATGAATCTAAATCAAAATCTGATTTTTTTCTCAAAATTTTAGTTGGAAAAGAGGTATATCATTAAAGTTTGTTTGTTAGAGATGTTCCTATTATTGAGATATTTGTCAATGCTTTAGATAAAAATTTTAAATTGATGTTTTGTGTTTTGTTCTCTGTCTTTTCTCATTTTCCAAGAATAATGCAGTCTCAGTCACAAAATTTCTGGCTCTATTTTAGGTGCAATTCTGTAGTGTTTTGAGTACCAGTTAACAAATCTTTGCTTTTGTGCATGGGCGTGTGTGTGTGTGTGTGTGTGTGTGTGTGTGTGTTTCTGTGTTTCTTCTTATGTAACCAGCCTACTAGAGCTGTCTTAGAGAACTAATGGCTGATTTTGAATGGCCAGTAGGTGTCATTGTAGAATGCAGTAAGTTGAGCATGAGTAGGAAATTACCAAGTAGTTAAAGAAACACTAGTCCAAATTAGCATATAGTAGTGGTTGGATGATAACTTATACATAATAGAAGTTCTCTCTTATGAAACATTTCGGTATTGGAGCTGTTTATAAGGATTTTGAAACAATGATTGTAAAGGAGTTTAATTGTTTGCCCTAAAATAGACCTTGAAAGTGTGTTTTTTAGCCCAGCCCTTAAACTATCTTGACATGTGATTCAGATTTAAGTTTATTTGTAATACATTGTTTTGACATCATGTAGTATGTTAAGTTCTAGAACAATTGAGATTTTTACCTCTACTGAGCCTTATAGAAAAACCAATGCTACATCATAAAAAAATTAAAATGATAAAATACGGGCAGAAGTTTTGAAACTAGTTACCACAACAGTACTTTGTTATTGTTGTTTTTTTTTCCCCTCAGAGATCCTTATTTACTGTTCTTTTAAAGCCAGAACAGAAGATTTTTTTGTCTGTCATCGTCTGTGGCTTCTTCTTATTATTATTATTTTATTTCCAGAATTGCTTCTTTTTACATTTTTATCTGGCTAGTAGACTGTGTGCTTTTCTTGGGATGTTGAATTGAACATTTGTCACCGACTAAAATGCAGTGGATTCTGGAGGGAGCCAGTACAGAAAGCTTTGAAAGTTGGTTACATTTGTTCTAAGTACAGCTCCTTACCTTCCCAGCCTTCTGCTGAGCCCTTGTCACTTTGTGGCTCTGCTCCTTAAGCCTGTGATTGATAAAGTGCTTTAAAAAAGTTTGGACCTAATTCTTCATGAAGTTAGAAATAGATACCTCAAAACAATCTAGGAGTTTTTAAAAAGGCATGAACATATCACTTATATCATCTCCACTTCCCGTCAGAATCTTATGGAGTGGGGGAGTGTGAAAGGGGTGGATATATTTTGGAAACAAATTACCTTGATTATTTGGTTCACCACTGGCTTCCATTTCAGAGTCATTGATCTAATTCAAGGCTTTGGCACTTGGGGTATGAGGCAGAAACAGTAGTTTTAGCTTTAGAGAAAGGACTGCCAACTCTACTAAATGTCCTGATAAATGACATTAAATGTCATTTTTTTTTTTTTTCCTGGAGTTTCACTCCTGTTGCCCAGGCTGGCGAGCAATGGTGCAATCTTGGCTTACTGCAACCTCTTCCTCCCAGGTTCAAGTGATTTTCCTGCCTCAGCCTCCCAAGTAGCTGGGGTTACAGGCATGTGCCACCACGCCCAACTAATTTTGTATTTTTTTAGTAGAGACAGGGTTTCTCCCTGTTGGTCAGGTTGATCTCGAACTCCTGACCTCAGGTGATCTGCCTACCCTGGCCTCCCAAAATGCTGGGATTACAGGCGTGAGCCACTGTGCCTGGCCTGTCATAGCTAGGATAGCTTTTCTAGTCAGGAGCTGAAGTTGCCAGAAATGAAAATTGTGCTGAATGTTTTGGTTTGGATTAGTTCTTAGTTGGTACTTAGCTGTTTCCCATAAATCAAACTAATTTCTTTCATGATTCAGACCTGTGCTAATTTGTATAGACATTCATGTCCTATTCTCTTACTGTCCCTGAAAGCTATCTAGTTCGAGAATTAAACTAAAATTGAAAAATAAGAGTTGGAGTAGTCCAGGGTCCTTTTCTGATAATGCTATATGATGGATATACGCATTAATCTTTGCATAAACATTCACTCAATAATATATACTAAAAGTTGGTGTTGCAAATGTGTTTACCTTAACTTGGGTCCATTTTAGAAACTTGTAGTTCATGTTTGTGAATTCTAGGCTTTCTGTTTGGGTGTCTGGTGCCATGGAGACAAATCTGAGAAAAAGTAAATGACTAGACTTTAATTTTAGAGAAAAGCATAAAAACTCAATAATGTAGTATATTAAGAGGTGTGACTTTGATATTTATAGAATTATAGTACTTTCTAGGTTTGAAATATAGCTGCCAAAAAAGTAGTCATAAAATATGGTAAGTGGCCGCAGTTTATTGAATGGCAAAGCATGGGTTACAGAATATCTATTTTGTCCTATTGTAAGGCATGAAATGTGTTAGAAAAAATTTATCTATCACCTTTGTCATTATGGTTACTTAACTGTTGATAGTGCTTGAGTCTTTCTTTTTCTGGTGAAAAGGTATTAATATATATATTTAGAATTAGCCAGGTGGACTCAGTTTAGATGATTCCAATTTTGTTGGCAACCTTCAAAGCATCATAATCAAGAGCCAGTCGAACATAGGCCTTCATCGCTTCATCAGGTCTGATCAAGGTCTTGACCTTGGCCTCATCAATGTTATGGAGCGTCTTTACAGCCTATTTGACCTGGTGCTTGTTGGCTTTAACATCCACAATGAACACAAGTATGTTGTTGTCTTCTGTTTTCCTCATGGCAGACTCAGTGGTCAGGAGGAAGTTGATGACACAGTGGACAAGCTTCTTTCTCCTTGTATCCTGCTATCTTACAAGGATATTTGGGCTGCCTCTGGGGCTGCAGTGCCTTGGGCCACCAGGAGTGGGTGACTTGCAGATCTTGTTTTTTTGGGTATGTGGCTGTGGATGCCTTTCAGCACTGCCTTCTTGGCCTTCAAAGCCTTTGCTTTGGCTTCGGCTCCTTCAGCACTATCTTGTGAAAACAGTCTCCCTGATTCTTAATTAATAGAGACTTTTGTTAGCTA